TGCTCAGGGCTGGAGCAGTCCTGGATGAGGGGAAGGGGGACCCCCAGCCAGCCCTGATTTTGTCTCTTTTCTGTATGGTTTTATAAGAAACAGTCCCATTCCAGGCACATGACATTGTCCTGGCACAATCAAACCCTTACCTTGCTTTAAATTATGATAAGAGGAAGCAGTGTATCAAATTTGGGGGTCCTAGCTCTCACTGCTTAGGAATTCTTCAACAAACAGACTCAGAGATGGACAGGTAGGCAGATATTTCTAAATACATAGATAAATAAGAACATAAGAATGCCCATCAGACCAAAGGTCCATCTAGCCCTCGTGTCCAGTTTTTCGACAGTGGCCAATGCCAAGTGCAGGGACATAACATCTAAACAACACAAATTGGGAGGACGTTAAATGAAGAGTCACTAGTATTTTGCACTACTGTAGCACCTTTTGTTAGACAATGTCAAAGTAGATGACAAATAATAACATTCCCAATGCTCATTCTAGAGATGGAAAAAATGGAAACAAGAAGAGTAAAGTGATTTGCCCAAATCTGGAGAGGAAATCATTTGAGGAACTCCTGAATCCCAACCCTGTTCTCCAGCCACTAGACTTAGCTTCTTCCTACTGGTTAATTTCTATTATTCATTTTTTACTAGAAATTAGGTATTCATTATAGGAACTTTCAAACAGCCTTCAAACTATATTATTAAATTATTTGTACTGTGCCTGGAAGCCTAATAATCAAATTGGATTCCGACCCCTACCACTGTGCTAGGCATTAAAAAAACAAGAATGAGAGTAAAAAATATATCACCATTGTCTCCATCAGAGGTGGGCAAAATACAACTCACTGGCTGCATCTGGCCCACTCAGCTGATTAGCAGGCAGTATATGTTCAGCTGCCCCTCCCTGCATTTTGCTCAGTCCTGTAGCTGAGCTGCTCCCAAGATCCTCCTGCTAGCTGTGCAGAGAAGGAAAAAGAGGAGTGTTGAAGTCAGGGTTTCCCCTGCCTCTGTACCCCATCTCTGCAAAGCAGGGTTTGGGGAGAGGGAAACACACTCCAGTCTGAAGTATGACGAGTGACTGAGAAGCATGTCTGTCTTAAGAGGCAGTGCTCTGTTCCTAAGATTTCTCCACCAGCCAGGTCTCTCTGGGCACATCTACACAGCAGGGCTAAAGCCGAAATATGATACGCTACTTAAGCTACACAACTGACCATCGCTCAAGATGAAATAGTGCCAAAAAGTGAAATAAGCTATCTACACAGCAGGAAGTCTGAGAAAGAGCACTCTTCCTCTGACTTCCCTTACTCCTTGTAAAATAAGAGTTACAGGAGTTGGAACAAGAAGTCCTCCAGCTCACCATTATGTCGAAATAACTGCTTGCAGTGTAGATGCAAACTATGTTATTTCGGAATAATGTCAGTTATTCTGAAATAACGCTGTTGTGTAGATGTACCCACACACACACAAATACACTGATGTTAAATTGCAGTTATCTGACTAATCAATTTGTACTGATTACACGATTAGCCAATAAGCACCATTCTGCAGAGCCACAGTGGGGGTAATCATGCTATTTTTTTTTTTTGCAGTGTTTCTTTCTACCCAGTCAGTGATTAGAGAATAGTCTTAAACAGCAAAAACAGTGAAACTGCTGTCAAATATACAAAGTAAAATGAAAAAGCAAAACAGTCTTGTAGTTATAATGGGCTTAGTTATTACTTATAGCAAAAAAAGATTAAAAAAATTCACACAGAAAGCAGAAGCAAAATGAAGGACAATGTAGCACTTAAAAAAAAAAAGCACACAGAAAGCATTTTTTTTTTCAGTTGACATTGTCCCTTTAGGGTATTCTTCATAATACAAAAAAAGTTAAGTGAATTAACTTGCCAGTTTCTTTTTAAAAGCATTAAAAGTAGCATTCATAAATTTAATTTGCACATTGAATTAAATGTAAAAAAAGAGAAAATGTTTAGAATTTTAAAAATTGTTAATACATTAAAACAGATAATCTCAAAAAAGGTTACCTGTTTTTCTTCCTCTGGCATGTTTTTTTCCAGTTCTAATAAGTATTCTTCATCTAAATCTGCATGCTTCTCCTGTTCCATATCTGATTCCTTTACCTCAAAGGAGTCCTTACAGTCATGAAAGCACTCCTCTGCTGCTCCAGCCTCTTTGGCAGAAGAATGCCTGTCTCCCTGGTCCAGGCTTCTTTGAAAATGTCCATCTTTGAAACCAACTGTCAAAGGACTGGTGCTCTCTGATGATTTCTGATCAGAAAGCTTTAAGCCACGGAGCAATTCTTCAGGTGGACTGGATTCTTCATTCATTTTGGGATCTCATAAAGGATTAAGCTTTTGAAAATAAAGGAGAAATAATAATCCTCAGTACGTAGAGTACACATTTTCAAAGTACTTCATGAATTACAGTTTACCCTTACACTGCCCATCTCTTGGGTACGTACAGACAAAGAACTGATACATAGCACTGAAATTACTATCACTTGCCCAAAGCAATCCTGTCAACACTTATACACTGAACAACTTTGCTTACAACAGTGCCACTTGCCTCTACTCCCATAGTTAAATTTGTGCATGGGCGGTAAGTGCTCACCACAGTGGGCCCTAGCTCATCACTGCATTGTGACAACTCCCTTGCATACGCAGCAGTTACTCACGCCTCCTCTCTCTCTTCATCACCATCCCTGGATGCCTACAGACCCTGCAGACAGGATCATCACGCCTCACCCAAGCCAGGCTTCCCTACCCATTCTCACACAGATCCACTGATGCAGCAGCCCCACACTTACCCCTGCTCCCAAGCCCCAAACACCCCCACATCAGCATGCCTCTCACCTACCATCCCCCACAGCCCCTACATCAATTTCCTTCCCAGTCGCCCTCCACTTTCTCCAGGCAATCCCAGAACAGCGTTGACCACGCTCCTCATCCCTTGGCCCCTCAGTC